ACTGACACACCATCGTTCCTTACGCAAATTTCAATTTTTAAGACGATAAATGAGGGACGAAGAAATAGATGAATTTAGACTAAAAAATGGTTTACTGTTCAGGTAGGGTCATACGTCGCAGAAAATACCATATCCCGTCAGCTCTGTGAAGTCAAGCTGCGACCGGCGCGGGCAGTACTGGGGTGAGAGATCACCCAGGAATTCCGCGTACTCTACTTTTTTACTCTCGCTCATCGAGGTCTTTTTTTGGAGTAAGCTGCTCTGTTCAACCTGTCAGCGCACTCGCTGGGGTCACCATCGCGTTGATTTGAAGCTGTTTGCATATTCTGCTTGTCCGTGGATATGCTCAATTTTTGGCTACTCAAGATGTAGCAATTGGACATTCTGCTCACGCTATAAAGTGTACAATGCTCCTATGGTTCTGGTGTGTTGCGCACCTAGAATCTTGTGAGAATCAGAGAGACAAAAAATTCCAAAAACGAAGGCCGCAAATTTGAATTTCGACACACAGGAAACTGTAAATGACTATCGAAGTGGAGCATACGTCTCAAGTTATAGATCGCTAGTGGTGACGAATGTATTAAACCCTATGTAGCTTCCTTGTGACGTAAAATGGATTTCCAAACTTCATCACTGTCATGTGTTTGACGGTGTTTTCATTCCGTCTTCCAATCCAGAATACCAAACAATACTCTAATGGAGCAATATAACAAAGGTCAGTATCACCCTGATTATCACCTCGACTCGTTTCTGATCTTTTACTGAAATATTGTGGGATTGATTCGAAACGTTTCGTTTTCCTTTTTCTTCCAATACAGCAATAGTTTCAAAGACGAGCTTCCTATACAATCTTTTCATGTAGGCATAGTTTCCTTCGGTTTGTTGTGCCCCGTTGATTGGCCCGTTGAATCTTATTATGTTGAGCATTTTGAGCTTTTTATCAACAACGATTTTTGACTTGAAAAATTTCACCCATTAGAAAGACCACATTGTAAGTGATTGCTCCTGCTTTGGACGATGAAATTGTGGTCTCGGTACTGCACATTTGAGCGACCGGATCGTTGGGACGATTACATCCCACTAGTGATTTCAAGTTATCCACGTTCAAGCTACATGCTTTCGCAGCTAACAGCACCATATTGCCGAAATCCCCTACTATTGAAATACTGACCTATATCGTCACTCACAATAGACCCGACCACAAGAACAATCCAGTTCCTCATCGTGCATCCTTTTCCAAAGAGGATAAAGCCTCGGCAGAGAGTCTACAGAGATTGCAAGATTGGTGCTATCCACGTGGTAAGGACCTTTTGTTGAAGGTCCTGCTGGGGTTGTCGAGTCAATAACCTGCGTTTCTGGTTGTAGGCCAGATCAAACGTGTCATTTCAAACAGTACCATCCAGGCCCACGAAACCCAAATCCAGTTCTCTATAGACGATGTATTTCATTTATTGAATTCATACCCGCCATAAATCAGACACACAAAGTGATATAAATCTTCTTGAATCGAGAAAGCAACGGTTTTGCGTAAGATCAAGCCTTTATTGCCTTGAGAAACTGGTTCTATCGAGACTTTTGGATAGTTGAAGGCAAGCAATAGAGCACATAGACTGCCATTCAATGTTATTGGCGTATTCAGACTTCTGATGATTTTTGCAACTGGACGCGCAAGACGTGCGTATGAGCTAGTGAAAATGCACTGGTGAGTGTGAAATCAACTTTTTGCCACTTCTATTACCGAGTGTTGGAACTCTACCCTCAGCTCTCGCTGTTCAATTTTGATTTGACTTCCAAACCCTCAAACCCTCGGTCGCCTTTCAGGATGACAACTACACACCAACCTGTTTCAAGGCCTTTGCTTCCGAATTACTGCAGCAACTGGTATCTCGACTCTTCCAGTTTTCCATCAGCTTCAAATGTCACGTGGGGTTGGATCGTAAGAACACCTTGAAGTTTCAACCAAGGCGAAGAAGGGACTCGTAGCCATGTATATAGCAACAGAAAACTTGCCCTTTCCCAGAAAGGGTCATACGACGCAGAAAATACCATATCCCGTCAGCTCTGTGAAGTCAAAGCTGCGACCGGCGTGGGCAGTACTGGGGAATTCCGCGTACCCTACTCATTGATCTTTTATTCGAAATATTTGAACAAAACATAGCTGCAGTAATTGGATGTAGAAGCCAGGGGTTTGCGACTGGCTTCAACTAAAATGCCTTGGAAAGGGTCGTCTAAAGTGACAGACAGTTAGTGATATGCCGCAAATCCAATTTCGGGACACAGAGAGCTCTATCCAACTATTTCGACTAGGTAGCACTATTTCTTAATGCAGAAATTTGCGCTTTATGCAATGTCTCGTCACAGATGACTATGGCTATTTTCACGTGCCAACCACAAAAGGACACTTTGCAAAAAAGTGTTGACGTATTGACTGTTCAAGGAAATGATTCTATAAACATTCACAAGACGGTCAGATTCGTTTCCAAACGCTCTCTCAACTTTGTCATGTCATGTGTTGGAGTTTGGTCTCTCAATGTCTTCGTTCTCCTCCAATCCAACTCTTACTTACATTGACAAAAACACATCCACACCTTAATAGCAAGCTTACAAACCCCAAACTACACAACAATGGCCAAAGCTACCAAATGTGCGTCGTATGCAGGGTGATACTGGCTTGACTGCTTCTTTCTAAGCTAATGAGGGCCCAAACTTCCTAACTCGAGCTCACATTACAACGTTTTTCTGTCATAGCAACAGTGCCAAAGAAGATGTCTCCTTACAACCGCTTCATGTAAGTGTCCCTTCTTCGGTCTTGCACTCCTGCATATAAAATTCTGTTTGCAAACTCATCACACAAACATCTCAACATCATGATTTTTGGCTTACACTCCATAAACCCAATAGGAAGGACAACTTGTAAGGAGTCAATCTATTATTCTACTTATTGGAATCAGGGTCCAGAATCTCTATCTCTGAGCGACAGGATAGTTGGAACTGGTTTCCTTATAAGTCCAACTCATCTCCAGCGGTCATCTTGGATGTGTCACTCTTCCAACCCATTTACACGTTGAAATACTTACAACCATGATTACAACATAGGCCTACCTACAAGGCAGACCACCCTTCAGCTGCTCATCGAGATGCTTTCTCGGCTGTTGCCAAAATGGTGAGTCACTTGTTGGTACCTTCCAATTGGTGTTTTGTCCGTCATCATTGTCACTAACGTCTTGCTTTAACTGTAGTGGGCTACTGCTGCCGAAAACGAAAACAAGGGAGCTACCAAGACCAAGAAGTCCAAGAAGTAAATCACTTGGTGGTATTCACTTCATCTTTGCTATCTCGTATGTTTCCGTATTTGATTTCGGTTGTTATTTATCCTTGGACTTTTGTGATAAAGTGAAAAAAGTAGTGTTGCAAATATATAATCCCACAAAAAATAACCAATGAAGTGGTATCATATCTCCATGCGAAAGACATCCAAAGCATCACATGCAACAGACCAGGACCACAAGGGGAATCATAATTGAAGAAGGAGAATCATAATTACGAGCCAGACACACCAACAGCCACATTTACGTTGACATATCATCTCAAGTATATTTCGAGACTTTGTTTTCGGGCAGACAAATGCGAGTTTACAATTTTTGATATACGAATGGGGTGTGTGACTCAACTCTAAGCGGCTCGCACCACTTCCCATACATAGATGATGTTGTCTGTATATCCAGAGAAGAGTGTTTGACCATCGGCACTCCAAGCTAATGAGATACATGATGGAGCCAATGCTCTCTTGCCAGCAGCCTACACAAAACGGAAAGAACGTCATTATTCTCTTCATTCAAAAGCCGCCCCATGCAACAAGATGACCAGAAAAGGAAGAAGTGTCACCATACCTCGAATTCAGGGTTGAGGTTAATGACTACCGTCTTTGTTTCCAAATCCCAAATAGTAATACCCTTGCCAGTAGCAGCACATAACCAGTATCGATTTGGTGAGAAGCAGAGAGCGTTGACAGTGTCGTTGGCTTCCAAAGAGTACAAGTGCTTGGCTTCATTCAAATCCCACAACATGGTTACACCGTCTTTACCACCTGTAGCACACAATGAACCATCGGGGGAGATGGTCACTGTTGAGATATATCCAGTGTGGCCGTAGTGGTTGGTCTTGAGTTTGAGTTTGTTCAAGTCCCAAACCTGTGAAGTAGCGAACATGAGTAAGTTTTTAAGATTAGGGTTTGCTTTTAATTAATGTGCAGCCAATGTCAAAGAGCATATGCTCGATGCAGGTTGCATCAGTTCTTGGTGGTAAAATTCCATTTGTCTCATCGGTGTAAAACCTCTGAAGTAGCAAATATAATTGTAACATCATCTGCAACCCCATATGACATTCTATCCCGGCCCATTCATGGTGTATACATCTCACTCTAAAGACATCAGACAAACTCGTCGTCTTCTAATTTCTCACCTTGACCAACTTGTCCCAACCACTTGATACAATGACGGGGTTGGCAGGGTTTGGCGAGAATCGGACACAGGACACCCATTCGGAGTGACCATCTTCTACAATGTTGACTTTACATTCACCCAAAGTGTTCCATAACTTGATTGTTCGGTCACGAGAACCAGAGACGATTTGACGGTTGTCTGGTGAGAAGGATACGGACAATACATCTTTGGTGTGGCCTACGAATCTCTTTGTTGTTTTTCCTGTGTTTAAATCCCACAATCGTAGTGTCTTGTCTGTATTCGAAGACTTGTATCAGTATTTGTCGAGATGCGATAAGATCTAAATGTGTATACTCACCCCATGAGGCAGACAAGGCAAATTGACCATCAGACGACAATACTACATCTTGTACAAAGTGGTTGTGACCAGTCAAGGCTCTTCGTGGTACACCGTATGATTCTTGGTCGCGAGTAAGGTGCCATACAATGATTGTCTTGTCTATAATAATAAAAATATAGAGGTTGGTCATCGAGTGTATATGAGATTGAATTTCTGGTCTCTTCCATTTGCTTGTTTGAGCGAACTCTAGCAATATTCACTTTCGGCACTGGGGTACGATTTCATCCCAGACATCCATCACATCCGCAAGGATTAACGCGTCGTAATCACCCCAAATCCACTGCATGTGATTCTGAATATTGAAATATCGTCTCCTTCTCTCCTCTCGAGTGTTGATGTTTGGTCGGATGCGCCGAGTGTCGGTGTCGACCAAAAAGTTGATGATGTGTCTCTGTTCCAATTGAGGAGAAATACTTACCACGAGAAGCAGAGATGATCATATCAGGGGATTCAGGAGATGTAGCAATTGCTGTGACCCATCCTGAATGGCCTAATTATTCACAAAAACAAGATGTCAATCGTTTTGTCGGTTTGGTCTGACCAATACATGGACATTCAATAAGCAATCGCTCGTGAATTGCAAGGAATTCCTTACCGACGAGTCGTCCTCGAGATACTAAAGCGTCTCCCATGTTTGCTTTCGCTTTCGTGTGTGTGAGCGGTGCTAAGTGGTAGAATCAGCTTTTGAAGTGATGAAGCTCAACAACACAAGCAACGTATAACGAAAGTATAGAAGAAAGGCGATCAATTGACACGTACATTTACTGACTCAAGTGGATACAAAGTGTGTTTCTTTATTACGTTGGACATATGAGGATGATCTGGCGTTTTAGAACATATCACACTTCCGATCAGACTGTTCCTGAACTTCCAAATTTCAAACAGTGAATCATGAACTGAGCTTACTATTCAACGTATTATTACATTCGCATATTCGCGTTCGTTGTAATTGGTGCTTACGCTTGATTAGGTAACCAACTTCATCACTAACAACTTTTTGATAGAAGCTAGTCGAGGAAGCAACTATGGTAAGTGATGGAGAGATTTCTTCAATACATTCATGCCCGTAGTCAGTGGATAGGCCCCTTCTCGTTTGGTTGAATCGCTGCATTCGATGGATGGATGATGATGGGAAGCAACCAACCAACATTTGACGTCGTTGATACGAAGAGGTTGTAGAGGCCAAAGGCAACAACTAGATCGAAATAATGCTCAAAACCATACCGACTTCCCCTGCATCTCCCTTCCCTATGTGTTGATCAAACTAGCATCACGACATTGAGCCATGACATTTGAGCTAATCCCTTTCGTCAAATATTAGTCTGCTCGTCCAGTCGTTACTGTATGGTCTGACTCCACCGACGGTTCAGATGGCACAACAAACTTGCCTGCCGTATTCTCTGCACCAATCCGTGCTGATGTTGTCAACTTTGTCCACACCTGTATTGCAAAGAACAAGCGTCAAGCGTACAGTGTGAATGTCGATGCTGGTCACCAAACTAGTGCTGAATCCTGGGGAACTGGTATGTGATCATACATATAGATAGATTGTGGATACCAAAGGAGTCCATTGTGCAATCTGTCTACACCGTTTTTTACTCACCCGCATACTTGTCCTTATTCAGGTCGTGCTGTGGCCCGTATTCCTCGTGTATCAGGTGGTGGTACTCACCGTGCTGGTCAAGCCGCCTTCGGTAACATGTGTCGAGGTGGTCGTATGTTTGCTCCAACAAAGACATGGCGGAAATGGCACGTAAAGACAAACCAGTCTCAACGTCGATTCGCTACCTGCTCTGCTTTGGCTGCTTCTGCTCTCCCAGCTTTGGTTATGGCTCGTGGTCACCGTATTGATGGCATCCACGAAATTCCATTGGTAGTAGGAAACGGTATCGAGTCATTGAATAAGACAAAGGCTGCTATGGGTGTATTGAAGACCCTACATGCTGATGTCGATGTCCAAAAAGTCGTAGATAGCAAAAAGTTACGTGGTGGTGTTGGAAAAATGAGAAACCGTCGTCATCGTATGCGTCGTGGTCCTCTTATTGTATATGGTGAAGACAAGGGTCTTGTCAAGGCTTTCCGAAACATCCCTGGTGTCGAATCGGTAAGCTAAGGTTGTTGATACTAGTCGTCAGATCGCAAGCGATTCCGTGATTTTTTGCTCCACCTGCATCGCAGTGAACTGGTGTTTCTACTTTGTCGACACTTTCTCACTCATTACCTATATTTTTAGTGCCCAGTATCTTCTCTCAACTTGTTGCAATTGGCTCCTGGTGGACACGTTGGCCGTCTCATCATCTGGACTAAATCAGCATTCGAGAAATTGGATACCATCTTTGGAACATTCGCTACTCCATCTACCGTAAAGAAGGACTTTACCTTACCCAAAACCATCATGTCAAACCCAGATTTGGCTCGTATCATCAACTCTGACGAAGTACAGGCTGTAGTACGACCTGCAAATGCACCCAAATCTAAACGTCCATTCACTCAACGAAAGAACCCATTAAAGAACTTGGGTGTCTTGACTCGATTGAACCCATATGCTAAACAATTGAGAACACAAGAGGTTGCCAAAGAAAAGGCACTAAAGACAAAGACAGCACAAAAGAAGGCTCGTGATGCCAAGGTCACTGCTTTGAGGAAGCAAACCAAGCCATTCGTGGAATCTCTCCTTGCGTAAGTCTCCCGTTTTTGTGTGAGGACATGGGTGGCAACACAACTCTGACCAACACTCATTCCAATCACTTTAATAGCGAATCATAGATTGCACACAGCAGCTCTTGTGACTGTAAAAATAAACGTACGTAGTCATTTTGCAAAACTGTGGAGTATCTCGAGTTGTTGGCTGTTTGATCAACGGGCGCTTCGTGTTTGGCTAGCGATACTCGAGTTCTATGTGCATTATATGTACAGGTACTACTACCAGAGAAGAGGTCCAGGAGCCGGATATACTCTTTCTATAAACGCAAACGGGAGTGTGGATGAGGAAAGTCGAACGAAGACGTGCAAATAGGCAGCGTTCCCTTTTTTCGCACTTACCTCCTTCTAGATCAACAGATCCCATCCCTTCCAGCCACTCGGATATAGGAGTGATGCTATCACAACCAGACAAGGCAGTCACAAGTGTGTTTCGCGGTACGTAGTCACCAAAACGATCCAAAAATTCATCAAATGCAGCTTTCAGCTCCGCTTTTGGCAAAGACGATAATGCAGATCCAAGTTGCAATAGTCCTAATGATACCTCAGAGATCTATGCGGGATGACATGTATATGAGTACAATTTGTTGGGGTTGACTCTTTGGTCGTTCCAAAGGGTTGTTGACTAACAATTCTACCGTTTTAACAATCTCCTGTGGTCCCAACGTATCAGGATCTACATCTCGTTCACGACTTGGAGGTGGATCTAGTGTCTTCCAAGTCCAAGTTGGGAAGAATCGTGCTAACGAATCTTCTTGTGCGATCAACACCCTTCCATTCCTGACGAATGCAGCGAGCGTTTCAGAAGGCGTGCTTAAATCCTTCATTGTAGCATATGCTGCCTTTGTCGATGTCTTTTTGTTTCAACATTGTGTTGTCAGTTAAAGTGTACGGGCGCAAAAACGTGAATGCATTTCAGCTTGCCTCGATGATATTCAAGTAGGAGGTTGGTTGCATTATGAGTAGACCAGTGACGTGATCTAGATCGGACTGGTATTGTCTCATGAACTTTTGGTAGTATGCTATGGTAAAAATACTTTAGAAACACGTTTCGTTGATGTGATCGAAATTTTGAATAGATCACCAGCTAGCTCTGTTCGATCGCAGCCAGGAATGATTTCGCCACATAGTATAACTCGATAGACTGTGTTCTATCAGAAACGTACGTCAGAAACGTTGATCTGATATCTGCATTCCCATAATTCACTTACTCGTCGGTCCGTAGTTTCCCTAATCTTTTCAAGGACGGAGTTTCCGATACGTTCTGCTGCAGGCGCTATTGAATCCATTGGCACGGATCTTACTATTATACGAGTTAATTCCAACCTGCAATCCCGAGTTTTGTGATTTTGAAAACCAAGGTGAAAGACTGACGCATCACTGAACTAGGATATCAAAAAAGAACATCAACAATGAAATTATACGTGATTTGTACAGTATTGCTCGGCCTATTGATCCTTGCCTATGCTGAAAAGACCGAAAAAGAGGCAGCATTAGCTGCAAGACAGTTGCTAAACTCCACAATACATGCCGAACTTGTAACCATTGTATCGAATACTGAAAAGCCTGACTTGAATGGGTACTAGTCGCTCACACACGGAACTTTGCTTGGGTGATGATGACTCACACATTGTTATACTTTGTTGCTAGATTTCCCTTTGGATCGCTGGAGTACATAACGCCTGACTGTACATCGAATAATGGAGATGTGATAATGTACTTGGCTGATATATCGGTACGTTGGGGCGAGAAGAACGGTCGTTCGGCCTTGTGAAGCTACCACTCACTTAAACTATCGGTCTGTATAGGTCGAAGGAGAAGATGTACAAAGAGATGGAGAGCGTGTCTCCGTTACCATCCGTGATTTAACTTATTACCGCGACACTGATGGTCCTGGTGTCATGGATCGAGCCCGACTCTCGCTTTTAGGAACGATCGCTCCCATTGCTGATGACCAGGTACTCAAACTTTTCCATACCACGCCGTGTTGCTTGTATGCTAATAATGTCCCACTAGGTCAAAGATGTCGAATCCTGTTTCTTCAAGATACATCCAGATGCAGCGTACTGGAAGTATGCTCACGTCTTTCGAATGTGGAGGCTAACTCCAAAGGAGATATATTGGGTAGGAGGTTTTGGGTCCAGGCACTACATTGGTACGTGAGATGTCGCGGTCTAGTAGACCTCTTTTGCTCAAACGGATATCAAACAGATGCTCACACCATATCAATTAGGCTGGATTTCCGTCGACCTGTATCAAACTGCGACATCTGCTGCCCTAGTTGTCAAGCAGCAACGTAAACGACGCGTATAGGTGTATAAAGAACGTGCAAGATTAATTTAGTTGTTAATTATGGCAGATTGGAAATACATTTGTCTGACCTCATCCGTCCTAGCTGACATTCCTTTTGCGTAACCCTTGTCTTTAGCAACCTTATAACGCAGCTTGCCAATATGACGGACGCCATTGAGCCTGGTATGGTTCGCGCATTCACCGTTCATATCGAGGACTCTCAGATCGAAGATCTTAAACTGCGTCTTCGCGAAGCTCGAATTCCTCAGCAAATCGCAGGTGCAAAATGGACAATGGGTATGAATGCCTTAACCGTGCGCTCGTCAAAGATTGTACTGATCGACTTGACGTATAGGCACTGAGCAAATGCATCTTGAAAAGACTGCGAAACGATGGGCTGAAGACTACGATTGGAGAAAATGGGAAAAGATCATCAACAAACACAACCATTTCAAATGTCTTATTGATGATATCGATGTGCATTTCATTCATGCCAGGTCGAACAGGCCTGATGCTGTTCCTGTAAGTTGCTCTGGTCGATTGGTCGCAACCATTGACCTTCATGACAGTGACATGCATTATATCAACATTAACGACTTACCTTTACCATGCAGATATTATGTCAACATGGATGGCCCGGTTCCTTTTTAGAGTTCTATAAGTGCATTGACCTGCTGGCCAATCCAGGAAATCCCGCAGATCCAGCATTTCATGTCGTCGTTCCCTCACTACCCGGCTTTGGATTCAGCTCTGCACCCAGAAAGAAAGGATTCCAGGTCCCGCAAACAGCTACCATACTTGACAAGCTGATGACGATACTAAAGTATCCAAAGTATTTTGTTCAGGGAGGGTGAGTGACAGAAACACGAATTTGACATCAGTAAAGTTTGCTTAAACGCTACTTTGTAAACAGTGACTGGGGAGCCCCTACAGTGCGAACAATGGCTGCTCTCTTTCCGCATCGAGTGGCTGGACTGCATCTGAATATGATTCACGGCAAGCCTGATACTGGAGTGTTGGCCAGCTTGAAGAATCTGGCAGTACAAGCTGCACCGAGCCTGTTTCTGTCCGCTGAACGAAGGAAAGAAATCGCTTTAGACGCTCTATGGTCTGAACGTGAGACTGGCTACTACAAGATTCAGGAAACCAAAGTAAGCTTGCTCGAGAGTCTTTTGTCTTGTAATCCAAGCTCACATTCTCTACACAGCCTCAAACTGTATCTTACGGATTGTCTGATAGCCCTGTTGGGCTCTTGGCATGGATTAACGAAAAGATGCGAGCTGGGCCAGATTTGGATATTGACGAGGTTTTGACCAACGTTTCGATATATTGGTTTACCAATTCTATTGCGTCCTCTGTACGGATATATAAGGAGGCTCCTTCTATAAGGGACATCTTTATATCGAGTGAGTGTGGAACAGTTGAAATGACTTGGAGACGTTAAAATGCTTTGTATATGTACTGACGCGCACTTTATGGTTTAGGCTATGTTAGTGTGCCGACAGGAGCCGCTATATTCCCTGATGAGATTGTTCATACGCTAGAGGAGGACGCTCGTCGAAACGTAAGTCCGGTGCTGTACAATGTGAGTCTTTCTGAGCTCATCCATTCCCAATAGCACAACCTTGTTCATTGGAGCATCATGGCCAAAGGTATAATATCAGGTCTTCTCTGAACGAGAGCCCATTTATTAACCAATTTTACAATTCAGGTGGTCACTTTGCAGCATTCACACAACCTGTAGCTCTCGTAAACGATATCCGTGTCTTTGTACGAAAAGTACGCAAACTGAGAGAGTATAGACTCTAACACTGTGTATTGTCTTTGAATATGAATAGGCTTTTATGCTTATATAACTTTGTACTATTATTGTTATCATTGATATGTTCACATTACTCGTGTGTGATTATTTACTGGAATGACTTTTTTTGAAAAACACTGGGATGGGATGGGGACTTGGTTTCCGGCCGTTTAAATAATGACTTTACAACCAGCATTGTTCAAGCTGTGGCTGTTGATGTTGGAGCAGCTGATACATCCACAGTAGCTGATGGAGTTGCCGAGACCATAACAGCAGTGTATCCAGCTGGGCATGAGAAGGCTGCCGGAGTTGGAGTTGGTGCTGGTGTAGCGAGCATCGAGGCCATAACGGCTGCGGGATTGACTGGGAACGTTGTGTTGTGACGACCGAATCCCTGTCGGGTTGGAAACAGAATGTTTGAATGAGCGCCAGACACAAACTAGGTAGGAACACTCAAACTGGGTAAGAACACTCACGCCATCATCTACTGCCAGTCCCTTAAAGGTAACAGTGGAACCATGAATCCAGTTCGGAGCAATCCATTCAACATTGTAAGTAGCGGTTTCTGAGATGACTTGGTTGTGAACGATGCCAACATCTAATCAAAGTCGTTTCGTGAGCTTGCTGTCGCAATCCAATGTAAAAGCTTGATTAGCTCACCTTTAGCTCCGCAGGCATACCAGCTTTGCATGTTTGGACCGTAGTTGCTGAATCGCCCAATCTTGGTTCCCTTGCTGTCAATAGCATACTATTACAGAATCAAATGTCAGAGTACTGCTCAGATTCAATGTAGACACAAGTATCTCACCACTATGGCGCCAGCAAGCGTTCCAACGTGGGCAGTGAAGGTGAGGTTGTGGGTAGCGCCTGGTGTAATCATGCCATCCGGTATGGTGATGTTCATAATGCCGGTACCAGCAATGGTAGAGTTTTGGTTATGCTAAGTGTTGAATAAGAGATTGTGAATGTCGGGTAATGGAAGTGACGCGGAATGAAACACTTACAAAGTTTGCAACGGTCAGAGCTGCACCTGGCTCCTGGAAGTACGCGAGCACACCTCCGAGTGTCTCCGGATATCCTGTGTGAAGAAAATTTAGGTATTTAGGTATTTCTTGTCAGGATGATGTCGCATCAACGTAAAATTTACCATGTCCTATGGAACAAATGGGGAGAAGAAGGTCAGAATCTGATTGAAATTCGACGCGATACTGCAAGAAAAAAATCTTCGGAGCTATAACAAGAGGAAGCCGACTGATATCCTTCATACAAAGAATAGATCAAAACTTTGACATACCTGGATTGCAGAGGTACGCAGGTAAGAGTGTTCCGTTGGTGAAGGCAAGTACCTAGTGTTTGAAATCAGTTTCAGCACTGTGTTATACATGTAAGAGGCATTAAACGACCAGCTAAATGAACGTGCCTGGTACTGGAATGCAAACAGCAAAGAAATGGTTAAGGCGAAAGAGTTCATGGTTTGATCTAAGATAGTTGCAGCACAAGAGTAGATTTAGAGTAGGTCTAGTAGATGTAAACCGGTTAGATCTAGTTCTTTCTTGCAACGATGCAGGTGTGAAGAGTTTTTCGAAAGCGCGCCCATCGACGCCAAGTTGCGAAGAAGCTGTAAACAAACAAATGGCCAGAGGGAGGAAAAAGAATCATCGAGACGGCGCTACTAGCCGGACATTCATTGCTGATGAGTCTACAACAACAGAGGGTGTCCTGGTCGAGTAAGTGATGATAATCATTGCAATAGTTTTTGAAGAAAAGAGCATTGCTCAATGAATGCCTGATAGAGAAGACAGGGGCCCTCAAATTCCGATACAACTGGCTATGTGGGTACGTGGATCTCCTACTTGTATCCCTGAACGAAGCTCTCCGTCTCGGAAAGCCATCGACATCAAAGCAATCATGTTTTTTCTAAAAAAAACCTTATTTCGTACATAGGACTTGAAGCACTGTGACCCAAAACGATGTTCAGGAAAGAAACTTGAACGGCTAGGAATGATACGAGCTTTACGTATCGGATCTTCATTCAAAGGAATAGTATTATCGCCTCGAGGCACACAGGCTGTTTCGCCTGCCGACAGGGATTTGATCAAAACCAATGGAATCGCTGTTGTCGAATGCTCGTGGGCTCGTATAGAAGAGGTGCCATTCGATAAAATGAAGAGTCTTCATGACCGTTTGTGTAAGTGTATAATATTTGGAAGGCTAAATACACGCACAGGCTAATCGACTTCACGGAATAGTACCATACTTGATTGCTTCAAATCCAGTGAATTATGGAAAGCCATTCAAGCTTAATTGTGCGGAAGCTATCGCTGCTTGTCTGTACATAATTGGTAACATCAGGCTTTTTCTTGCCATTTTTTGTGGCATTCCGATTGAGCTGCTTTACTTTAGGCGAGAAAGATTATGGAGATATAATAATGTCTAAATTCACATGGGGTCATGGATTTTATGAACTTAACCAGTGCGTAGCATTTGAGCCATCAACGTGACCTTTTTTTCCGTCTAATATCCCTTTGCTTTTGTAGAGGACTATTCCAAGAATACGCCTCATGTACTGACTCGGCTGATATTGTACGAGCACAGAACGCGTACATGGAACGCGAGCTGGAAGCTTCGAGGAGGAGAAGGACGACGAGACAAGTCGATGACTCTGATAGTGATTTGGAAGTCAATCCAAATCATTTACGAGGCGAGGATGAAGACGATAACGAGGAGGAGGATGAAGACGATGACGGGGAAGATGGTGACAAATCACACAATCATGACGAAAATGACAGTGATGACGATTTTGAAGATGACGAGGGCGTCGAGTATATAACAGACAAGCTTGGCAACACGGTCAAGGTCGTGAGGTGATCATGCCGCTTGGAAACATGTGAAGTATAACCTGCCCGTGGGGTGTAACATTTCGCACGTGTACACATTTAGAAGAAGCTTCTGTAACAGCATTTTTAATACTAGGATTAGGTATTATGTATACAAGCTCTGATTATAATGTTCAATAACGTTTGGATTACTATACTTTTCATACACTACTTTTGACGACGACATTAGATCCATGCTTCATCATTAGCCAAAGCATCATTATAGTTTACTCCAAGCCCCAAAGAGAAGCAGCATATCGAATAGACCTTATTGATTCACGGCGTTGTCTCCTTTCAGCTTCCAGCGTTGCATCTAGTTGTTTTTCTGTGACGTATCTGCCATTATCGTAATGGAAGACACCACCACTTTTGCGTAGATCACTACTATTCCGAGCCTTTATATATCCTTGAGCGTTTTTATCATGGAGTGAGTAATGATGGAGTGAAGCTATTTTGCTAGTTTTCCTTCCGTTTTCCGTATTGATAGATCCAGACTCGAGTTTGGCAGTTTTGGACTTGGAAGAGGTCCACATAGTTGGTCCACAGTCGAATGTACAGTGCTGATCGCTGAGGACAGCACTTTTAGTAGTGGGTTTTCGTCGGTAACGTTGTTATCGACGGGAGACACTTGGTGCTAAGCAAATTTGGTGACACTCAATCGACTTTCAACCTGAGCCTATAGGAGCGTATCGCTTTGAAAAGGCCCACTGCAAAGCACTGTCGATTACTTCATGTATGCGGGAAAATATCGATCTTTGGACATTACCGAAATCACTCTATAGGTTGATAACAAATTCTGCAAGTTGTGTCGCAGATGCCGCAAATGTCCCATGCCTGGAAGAACATGCAAATCTCTACATGAACTGCTGCGTTTCCAGCTTTCCGACTATTTCATGATGATACTTTATTAGTTTCAGCCTGTTCTTAAACCAAATGGGATACCTCGACTGGTTTTGTCTTCCTTGCACTAACATCCCGTTTTGGGCAAAATATACACATGAGCCCTTCGAACGATGAAGAAGGAAAGGATGTTGGGTCTGCATAAACTTATCATTCCGGTTGCCAGCTGTTGCCAGGAGACCATTGGCTCCTTATCTTGAAGTGTCGAGTTGGCAAACATTCTTCTCTGGATATAGCCGATGATATTCTGATTGTCTGGTTTGTGGTCTCAATCTGAAACTCCTGGCATCTGGTAAAACGATATTTAGACACGAAACAGGGTATGAGAGAAAGGTTTGTTCGTCACTTGGAGTTTGTATTTGCAAGACTACATTTACTTTATAGCAACAGTTGAAGAATAAGCATCAGATGAATTTCAAGCAATCGAAACCGTATGAAACAGCAAAGTTGAAGTGAAGATTACCAAGTGGTTTACTTCTTGGACTTTTTGGACTGGGTAGTTCCTTTTGTTTCGTTTTCGGGAGCATTGGCCCACTGCAATTGTAAGCAAGCCGTTAGTCACAAATGCTGATGAAGAAAATACCAATTGGAAGGTACTGCAACAAGTGACTCACCATTTTGGCAACGGCCGAGAAAGCATCTCGATGAGCAGCTGAAGGATGATCTGCCTTGTAGGTAGGCCTACGTTGTAAGCATAATGGTAAGTATGTCAATCATACAAACTGGATCTGTCACAGCTTCCAAAATGGCCGCTGCCGATGAGTTGGACTTAGAAGGAAACCAGTTTTGACTGTCCGGTTGCTCAGAGATAGAGCTTCTAGGCCACGACTTTACTAAAAAGAATCATAGATTGGCTACTTACAAGTTGTCCTTCCTATTGAGTTTATGGAGTGTAAGCCAAAATTCATGATATTGAGATGTTTGCGTTTTTGAGGTTGCAAGTCAACAGAAATTCATATAGAGCAGTGCAAAGCATAGAAAGGCTTGCGTACATGAATCGGTTGTAAGGAGACATCTTCTTTGATACTGTTGCTGTAATAGGAAAACGAAACGATGTGAGCTTGAGCTGTGAAGTTTGGGCCTTCAATAGTTTGGAAACAGGCTGCCAAGTCAGTATAACTATTCAGACTACGCACATTTGGTAACTTTGGCCATTGCTGAGTAATACTGGTGTTAGAAGCTTGCTGTTATGGTGTGATTGTGCTTTTGTGATTGAGAAAGTTGGATTTGAACAGAAGGCCTGCCTGGGAGTTGAGACTTTAGAGAGCAGGCCAAACTTCAACACGTAACTGCTGAAATGAAGTTCGAAAACAGATGGAATGAAATCCACGTGTTTTCTTGTTCATCTCGTGTCGTGTCTTCTTGGCGGATCAACCATTCACTTAATATTTAATGAAATTTTACAATATGTGTATGGCACGTCACTTACATGACTGTCTAGAAGGGTATCCTTTAGAGCACTGATATACATCGGAAAAGGTATGAACGGTGTTGAAAGGGTTATGTGAACTCTTCTGTGGGTTGGAATTAGATTTTGCGGCAATCAACAGTTCCCTTCACAACTCTTATCACAACTCTGACTAACATCGTGTAAGTATATTCACACAAGGGCCAAAGTTAGGTCATTGAAGAAAATCTACTAGCACTTCGCTCAGGAAAAAATAGAGTACGCGGAATTCCTGGGTGATCTCTCACCCCAGTACTGCCCGCGCCGGTCGCAGCTTGACTTCACAGAGCTGACGGGATATGGTATTTTCTGCGACGTATGACCCTACCTAGCAGTGAAGTACATTTCCTGTCAGCATATTGCTGCCTGCGGGTCCCTAAAAGGTGTAAAAAAAAAAACGGGTAAGCCGATTATTGCTCTGGGGTCTTGTACCAGTGGCTTGGGCTGTAACAAAACTAAACAAAACTAAACAAAACCAAACAAAACAAAACCAAACAAAACCAAACAAAACCAAACAAAACACTATCCGGGACTTTGCCCGCACCGGATCGAATCCAGGGCTTTAAATTTTTTCCACTGATTCCCTATGGAAATGGTTTAAGAAGAATCTAGGAGCGAGAATTGTGGATGAGTGGCAAACCGCAGTTGGGGAGACCAAACGGCATGGAGGATGCAGTCGCGCTAAGGATCACTTTAAGGAACGATGGTGTGTCAGTCGCGGCTCACTGGTAGTTAATATAGT